TTATTTATTTATTTATGGCAGAGCCTTCTCCAACCTAGTTAGAACTTGACCTATAAGTGAGGATGATCTTGAGCTCATTTTCCTGCAACCTCTGTGAAATGCTGAAATTACAGCTGTGTACCACCACAAATGACGAAACATTTCTGAATCCTGATTTCACTATCAAGGTAAAAAACAGAAGATCAAGGAAAACTGGGTGTGGTGGCACATGTTTATAATTCAGCACTGGGGAGACCAAGCCAAAAGGATCTAAAGCTCCAGAGGAGTTTGGATTACATGGTGATATTGTTTCTAAAACAACAATAACAAAACCAAAAGTAAAAATAAAAATGAGTTGCATATTGTCTGTGATGTGTTATCAAGTATTGAGTTCTGTGGTTAGCTCCTAAAAATGATTAAAAGAAAACAGGATAATTTTGTATTGCAACACACTAGTACAATACCATTATTTACATATAAATAGAGTGATGCCATGTGACCAAACTTACTTTGCATTGTCACAGGGACTTTCCCTTTGTAATTTTCCTTAACCAAATTATACTTTTTAATTAGTCTCTCACAAAGAGCTATAGGCCTTCACTCAAAGTGATTAGACTCTTGGGGTTTGCAACACAGAAATGCTGATATTACCAAATCTTTGTTAAAATGATTAAAAGGTCTTAGAATTAAATACTTTGGACTCTATTCTAAAATTGGAGCTTAAGCCTGTGTGTTTTATTTTGTTTTTAATTAGAGAAATCTTTTAAAAAAGCCATCCTTTAGGACACCTGAAGTTGAAGCCGTGAATATATGTTTTATGTATTTACAACTCATAAAAATTGCTATGTCTTTACAACCTGTTTTCATCTGTGTACTATTACCAGGCTGGTTACAACACTCCTTGATTGACAGAACATCTTTCTTTTTTTAAGGCTGATGGAGAATTTCTACTGAAATTCTCGCTGCTATGCTGGTATTCAATTAGTCTTTTTACTCTATGTCTTCTAATGGTTCTGAAGTAGGGGGTTCTTAATTTGAAATCTTTAAGGAAGCCTGAATCAGCTATATATCACACTTACAATAGTTTTATAATATATTAAAAACTAGAAAATAGGGCATTTACCAAGATAAAAATATAAAACAGGAAGAAAAAGAAGTTAGTTCTTCCTAAACACTTCACTCTGACTTCCAACCTTAGTCCCTGTGTATGCATACACACACACATGTGTACCCCCCACCACATTTTTAAAGCATTAAAATGCCCTAGTATGCGTGTTTTTCTACTTTTTTAAGGCCCACTTGTTTCCAACCTTCTGAAATTTATGACATTAGCCATAAGTCCATGGGTGAATTATATATGATCCCCAAATGTGTTTGCATTAATTAAGGGCATAGATGAGCATAGACATTGGTCATAACAGTATGAATCAGGGAGTTGGCAAGCAAGGGGGCCATTGTTCATATGTGTGTTAACTGTGAGTGTGGCTAAAAATGAACCACCTAGCCAAATTTCAGTCATTCATTTCCCACTTTCTTTACCAAAATACTATTCATAAGAAACTGAAGTATATAGGATTTTAAGTAAAAGAATAAAGACATTGGATTGAGTTCTGCCTGTATTCTGGGCTAGCTTTGTGCCATTTGGCAGTATACTGACTCTTTTTGGAAGACAAGCTACAGTGGTTGTTTATCTCACTGTTCCTTCAACTCCTCCAGTGGTGCAGCCTGCCATTTCTCTATCCCTAACCTCTTGTCCTCTCAGGGAAAGTCCTCCTACATTTAGCTCCATATGAATGGGGGAAATGTCCTTTTACCTGGTTTCAATGCCCTTGGACAGTGATGAACCAGTGTTGAACAGATGATCCAGACAAAGCTCACTGTAGGGCTGCACTTAGAGAACACTATCTTTGGCATGAGTTTATGACTCATCCAGAGTCATAATAATCAAATCAGCCAGAATAATCAAAATCAAGCTTTATAACTATTTCCAAACTGTCCATGGGTGTGGAGCCTTGGTACTGGCTAGAGCAGTTTGCAACCATAAAACTGACAGGGAGAAGCATTTTATAGTAGGAAAGAAGCAAGCAGGGACAAAAGAAACTTCAGGAAGACTGCTATTAATTGCAAAAAGATAGATCTCATTTCTAAGACTCCAGAGAGTCCATAGCTACAGAGAACTATTACAAAAGAGAAATCCACTGAAATTCTATTCTATCAGAGCAGTGATGCCTGGGGTCATTAAAGAATAAGAATCAGTGTGATTATAAAATTTGTCATTCCAATTAGGGCAAAGGGATCATTATGCCAGGCCAGCTGACACAAATTGACCTGTTCTTGGAAAATCAGGACAGATTGTTCCCCTTCTTGAACATGCTGGCAAACGTGTTTTATACAGTATATTTTTGTCATACCCTCTCTAGTGTCATGAAACTCTGAAACCTTGCATTATCATGAATGTGCCATATAAAAGGCATTGCAGTTATCTTCATGTAAAAAAACTAAACCCGTGCCTGAATGTTCACAGATGCTTTGTACTAGTCAGATGTTGAAAACAACCAACATGTGTGTGAATAGCTAAAAACCTATGGCATGCCCATACCATGTAACACTACTTGTTAATGAGGATAAATCAATGCCCATAATAACTTAAAAGAATCTCAATAAAAGTATGATGAATGTTTTTTTTTTCTGTTCTTTGTCACTTTTATTCAGTAGTAGTTTTTCTTTATTTTCAGTGCCAGACATGGCAAGAAGTGATTACAGCTGTTATAAAACATTTGTTCACAACACACACCCCTTACCATTGACTCCAGACCCACTCATTTTGTGTGCTTTCAGCTTTCATTCTTCCTTTTTTTTGAATATACCACCAAGACCAGGTGGAAAGGGCAAGAGTAAGAGAGATTGGAGGAGAAGCATCCAGGATACCAGAGAGGAGGAATGCTACAAGCCACAGTAAGAATGAGCTGTATTTAATTTTAAAAAGGGGGGAGGGGTGTACCCCACAAATGATACAGTAATGAGGATACACAATTAAATCCCATGTTTGACGTCATCACAATGGAAGGCATAAAAAGTAGAGTAAATCAATGTTGACACAGTCCAATCTAGTCCATTAGGCAAGATGGTGTAAGGAGTCATTTAAATTAAAAGTGCCCTTCCCTTACCCAAATGGCTAGAGATATGGAGAACACACCGAGATGGGTCCACAGCTTTCTCCATGAGCTACACAATGTGTTGTCGAATGGCACACTGTCAAACACTGGAGAGGGGTGCCACAATGGACCTCTCTCTTTTATAGGTATGAATGCTAGATTCAACTACCTCAACTAAGCAGGAAGTGGGCTCTTCTGCTAGGAATGCTGATCCTAATTCCCTTTGTCTTGAAATATATACAGATTGTCTGTGGCAGCTACAGCAATGATATTCTCCTTGGGGTGCCAGGTTGTGTGAAGAATCTTCTTGTTGAAGTCAAGGCTGTCAACACTTACTTCATTTTTCTTTCACTTGCCACTTGCACAGACCTTGTGTGGCTTCAAAACTGTACGAGGCTTATTGTTTTCTCGTTATGCTTCTAGGGTTATATCTTGCTTTGTGTTCCTGTTGAACATTCTGAAAAAATTATTGTAGGATCCAGTCATGACCGTACTCTCAGATCCATTCCAACAACATTCAAAGTTGTCAAATACGTAGTAGTTTTCATACAGTGAGCACAGCTTACTTCTGAGATGTTCATGTACCTGGTATGTTTCCATAGGCCTGTTTTCCATATTCAGGCCCCAAATTTTGACGGATAAATGGCCTCTAGTCATCATATAGCGACCACTATGGCTGAATTTTACGTCAGAAATAGAGGAGATGACTTCAGAAAAAAATACCTGTCACTGGAATCTTTGGGCTCTTCAAACAGTTTAGCATGCCTGTCACAGAAGGTGGATGCTTTCATGTCACACAGCTGAATAGTTCCTTTACTGCTGCTGTATACAAATGTGTTACAGCTGTTGGGATGAAATTCCACTTCTGTGATCACCTCTGTGAGTTCCATATTGACAGGCTTAATACCCACAATATTAAAACGTCTGTCTATAATCTCCAGATGTCAAAGATTAATCTGCAAATCATCAGCTGATAAGTATGTTTCATAGTCACTATTGATGGAAATTGAGTTGATGTGGTATGTATGTTCATTGGCAAATATTCTTCGGGGACTGGCCTCCACCGTAAGATCCATGGGCCTGAAGACTGGCACTCTTAGTGTAGTGACTGTAGTCGGGTCTCTGTACCTTCCATCTTCCTTTTTAAAGTTATATCCTTCTGGTCTTTTGACCCTTTCACTGATTTTCCATAATTTTATTGTTTTACCATTGGTAGACAATAAAAACTGAGCAGCATTTTTCTGGGGTAACCACTAATTCTGTTGATCTCTTCTATTTCTAAACTTTTCAAGTAGTCAACTTCTGGTTCATGGCTCTGGAAGGTGATGTAAACATATTCTCCTCTGCTATGACACTGGATTTTGTTCTCCTGTGCGTGCTGAAAGATGACGACTCTCCCGCCTTTGTCCCCTGTTGCTAGCAATTCTCCAGAATGGTTAAATTCTACTGTAGAAATTATATCGGTGTCTGCTACATCATCATCTACTGCTCCTTTCACTTGAGGAAAACGCCACTGAATACTATTCTCTCCTTCAGCTCCTGCCATGTTGCGCTGCAAATGGTGACCCTGACGGGTTCCTCGAGGCCTCTGCGACCGGGGCTCAGCCCCCTCACCTGGGGATGGGGGAGTCGCGGGCATGGATGGCTGTGGATGGCACCTGAGGGGGGAAGGGACGGGGCTGGGGGCAGGATGATGGCTTTCACTCTGGGAGTCCCTGCTCCTGCTCCTCATGAAACATTCTTAAAAGACTACATCTTGTATGGTTCCATTCACACA